AAAAAAAAAAAAAAAAGAAAGAAAGAAAGAAAAGACACGACCGGGAACAGAAGGAGGAAGAACGAAATTCGATGATCCAATCGTGTAGAATTTTCACTCGTCAATTGATCGTTTAAATCCGCGACGAGGTATAGCCCTCGTGTCCCAGTTATTCTCGTCAATTACCGGAGCGTGCTCGATCGTACGTTTTCTCCTGCCGAAAAAGAATAAGAAAGAGAGAGAGAGAGGGAGAGAGAGAACAGCGTGAGAGATGATCGGAACGGTGTCACGATCGGGAATCGTGAACGAGAATCGAGCAGAACGCGTGAGATTTTCCGGCGTACGTGCATTCGGAGGATTTGGAATCGCTTTTGGAACGAACAAATTCCCCGCCCGTCGCGACTGCTAATTAACGAATAAGGGATCGATCGTTACACCATTAAATGAACGTCGACTGACATCGTTTCTCATCGTTTCATCTTTCGTCGCGCGAACCTCTCCTCTCGATTCTCGGCGCGGCGAATTCGCGAGAGTCGCGTGAATGTTGAGACGCGCGAGCGAAAAATCGTTTCGCATCGGTTCCGAGATAGATGGCGGAGACGAAGGTGGAAAAGTCGAAGTAGAGAAGCGGGGCCAAAGTTTAGAAAACCTGTAAACCGTTGAACTGAAAGAAATTTCGAAAGTATCGTCGTAGTTAGAAGCTAACGTGTGGTCTGTAGCTACGTAGTTAGTCAGCTAGAAAGGAAATTCCTGAGAGAGAGAGAGAGAGAGAGAGAGAGAGAGAGAGAGAGAATTTTTGGAAGCTTTTCTACAAAGAATCTTTTTGTACAAAATTTCTAGAGTCTTCTCCAACCTCCCTTACCCCGGTAATACATAGAAACGTTGGTCATTCTTTCACCTGTCGGTCAGATAGTAATTAATAATCACAGAATTCACACTTGTGAAATTGCAATCTCTCGTGAGAAATTGAATTTTCTCGACGATCGAGAGCCGCGTCGCAACTCACAACTCTCTCGTTGAATTCGTTGGTTGATTTACGTTGGACGACTGGAAGAGAAACGAAATTTACCGAGCTGATTGGTGATTTAACATTGCGTGCGCGCGATCCTTGCCCGGCGAGAAGGGAAAACACCGATCGCCAGCCTTTCAGCGGCGAAAGTGTTAATAAAAGGGCAGAGCAATGTCAATTACCGAAATGCGCCGGCGTAAACGTTCTTCCGTGAATAATTTCCGTTCTAGGGGATATTAACCAAGTGAATGTGCTCCCGTAACTTCTCGGAAAGGCCTCTATTATGTACTTCAATCGTTCGATGTTCTCTTCGCTAAAGTCTACATTTCTCCTCGGCAGAGAAGGAGACAGAACGACAGAAACTAACGACGCGAGAAAGCAGAGTGTCAATTGCACGCAAAATTCGAGACAGGTATTTTCGAGCAGGATTGTTGAGCCGAGGGTGAAAGAGATTGCACTTCGAGAGCAGCAGGCGAGAAATAAACACAACAGGGGAAATCTCATTTGGACAGACGCGAGATTTTAATATATTAACGGTGAATGAATTAACGTTGCAAGTAATGTGTTACGCAAGTAATATGTCGGGGTTAATTAACCTGACGAGCTGCTATCCTCTGGAGTATTCGCGGATCGTATTAGACCCAGGTAGTAATTTAGTTATTTAATAATTAAACCATTCGCTGTCCTTGTACAACTGTAAACGTCATCTGTGATTGTGGTTAATGAAATGCCATTTTCGAGGATGAACATTTCCACAGTTCCAATTAATTAAACGTGACGTTGAATGCGAACGTGTGTATCTGCGCAACGTAACGTAACGCGAACATAATGTAGTCACTGAGTCAGAAATATTTACGTCGAACGAGAGGAAAAGAACGCTTTTTTTCTCTTGCTTTGCTCTCGCCTGCCGCTCGAACTGCAAATTCACGTGATTCCGCAAAAACACGAGATGAAAGTCGAGTGACGTCGAGAGTTAAGATCGGTGCAGACGAGTCGACGCGACGACCAATTGCGACTTTTACAATTTCCCTAATTACCTACAGTTTCTCGTAAACATCGTTCTGTTTCTCTCAGCAAACATTGAACGGATAAACGCTCGTCCGAGTATTGACGATAGCAGCGCAGGTCGCCAAGATTAAACTATCGACCGATGTCTCGAAACTGCGAGCTAATTTACGAGCGTGCTTCGCGTTCTATTTCAGGACGATTCGCCGCGGCCACGAATTCGAGATATATAATGCGGACTGGCAACCCAGACTTTGCGTTGCAATCGGTATATAATCGGCGAGAATACGCTTCGAATACGAATATTTCACTTTGTCTTTAACCCGTTGAGCGTTTTGTTTTGTTTGAAGAACGTGCTTGTTATTTCTAGACGACGGCGAGTATACTCGACGAAAACACAGTAAATGCACTTGCTGAAAGATTGAGTTAAGTTATATTACGAGATTATAAATTTTTTTATAGCTTGGTGTTTCTTTGAAAAATGTTTAACTTTATTGGTATTTCTTGAAAATTATTCCATGAAAAGAAACTATTAAAAGTTCAAAGTGTGAAAGAAAGAACTTGAATTTTCATCAGTTCACGATCAAAATATTTGCAAAATTAAACTGATTAGAGGTAAATTTAACTTGTTTCCCCATTGTATCGATTGTGTCAGATTTCTCCGTACAATTCCCCCAAATACTTTCAAAGTGCATATCTTCTTCGTTTGTTTTGTTGCCTTGAAATATTCCAAAATGTGCTGAAATTACAAAATATATATAATCTTTTTATCTAAATTTTACAATAAATGGCGAGTATACTCGACATTAAACAAAAAAATTCCATCTTTTCAGGACGCGAGTATATTCGACATAAACGCTCAAGGGATTAAGGATCTTTAATCAGGTTTTAATGCCACGCAGCGCGATCGCGCTGTGCAAATTTCGATGAGAGCCACGAAGTCACGAATGCTGAATTGATAGGGCGAAAAATTGATGAAATTGTTGCAAGCAAAGGAATAAATCACGCGCAACAGCGTACATGGAAAGCGTACTTATTAACGTAAAAATAAAATAGTCAGTCGCACTAAATTATACGAAAGAAACTGTTAAACGACGAGCATCATCGCAAGCAACAACAAGCTCGAAACTGTCAAATTCGACGCGAGATTTTGAGCGAAGAAAAAAAAAAAAATTGTAACGGAGAATGGCTCGTCTGCGCGGCTTTTAACTCGAGCGAACAAAGCGTGACAAAGATCGAACAAGGTGCGTTCTAACACGCGCGGAGGCGGAACGATCGCGAACGTGACGAAGGAACGAGTGGTCGAGAGAGTGGTGCGCGAAGAATAGAAAATTAAAAAAGAAAAAAAAAAAGAAGAGAGAAAGAAAACGACTCTAGATGTACGCGTAACGTGTATTTACCTTGGCGAGAGAGAATTATGGAACGGAGGACGTGAAATAACGGCTAAGCTCGCGGGCGAGTTACTATCACATGATATTGTAAAACGATGAATTGTATAGTTATTATGTGTGTAAGAGTACCGTGAAACAAATTCGAGCACGTTGCAGAGGCACGATTTGTATGCCCGGTGTTCGCCACGTTTGTTCGATCATGACGATCGATAGCTTGTGCGGTCGAACGAAGAAATTGGGAAAGATGTTCTGCGCGTCGGAGTGAAAAAATTGAAATCGATGTATCGTTCTTCCGAATTGACATTTCCTTATCTTTCTCCGTTTGGAACTCTTTAATTCCCGATCGCGTTCAATTTAAACTTGTAGAGTGAATTGAAGAATTTCGAGAGGTGCAAGTTTTGTAATAATAGCTAATGAGGGGATTGAATAAAAATATCTGACCAATTTGCAAATTCACAGGTATACAACACACTCTGCGAGTGTCTTCGATAAGGCATATTAAATTCTGCCAACGATGGGGAATGAATATCAGAATTAACATTAATAACCTAATGTTTGAAAGATACTTTAATCGGAGCATAAAATTCCCATAAGAAACATTAAAATAAAAGAATAGGAAAGCTTTTCGATACGATAAATTAAACAAGCTTTCATTTAGACAATTTTACGAAAAATCATTTAAATTTCTAAGAAGTTTTATGTATATAAATTATAAATTAGTCATTTTGGTAGTTTCAGTGTTAAAGAAACTCGGCTACGAACGAAGCTGTTATCGACAATAAATTTCCCGAATGAAGTTCTATTCGCTATTCAATGACAAAGTGAAAGTGATTCGAATCGCGTGATTCACATTTCTCACTCACGAGTATTGAAAAT